AGCGAATACATCAATAAGCGAAAGGCGCTGACGCGCAGGATAAGAAAGTGTTTACGTAAAGACCGCGAGGCCTGGTGGTCAGAACGTGAGGGTGAGATGAAGGCAGCTGCTGCATCTGGCAACAGTCAGAAGCTGTTCCAACTCATCCGAGCCACCGGCAGCAAGAAACAAGGTGTCAGCGAGACGGTCTGTGAGGCAGATGGCACGCCAATTACCAGCTTGAAAAGACGCCTGGAACGCTGGGCAGAGCACTTCGGGAAACAGTTTAGCTGGCCACCAGCTTCAATGTCTACTATCATTAGCCCGAGTGCTCCTTGGTCGGTTAGTACCGACCCACCCACCGAAGCGGAGGTCCGTAAGGAACTCCAAGTTCTGAAAAGCCATAAGGCGCCCGGCCCAGACAAATTACTTCCGGCTCTTTTTAAAGATGGTAGCGAGACTCTCATAATGGCTCTAACTGGGTTGTTCAGGAGGGTGTGGGAGACAGAGAGCGTACCATCAATGTAGAACGAAGCCATTATCGCCCCCATCTTTAAACAGGGTCGACGTAATTCGTGTGACAATCATAGGGGTATCAGTCTGTTACCAGTTCCGTCTAAAATATTGGCTGCTGTCATGCTTCGCAGACTGTGCAAAATACGTGAAGGATTGATTCGCGAAGAGCAGGCTGGGTTTCGTTCAGGTCGTGGATGCACTGATCATGTGTTCACCCTTCGTCAGTTGTTGGAACACCGCCACACGTATTGCAGGCCAACGATCGTTGTGTTTCTTGATATTAGGGCTGCCTTCGATTCGTTGGACAGAACTGTGCTCTGGAACTGTCTCTGTTAGAGAGGGGTGTACCTGAGAAGTTTTTTAACATCTTGAAAGCCCTATACAGAAACACCTCAGGTAGAGTGAGGGCATACAACCAACTATCACCACTGTTCCCAACCAACAGTGGGGTTAGACAGGGTTGCCCGATCTCTCCATTTCTCTTTAACTTTGCCATCGATGACATTCTGGAGTCAGCTCTGAAGGATGTGCGTGAAGGTGGTGTAGATCTGCTACCTGGAGATAGACTTTTCGACCTCGAGTATGCAGACGATATCGTCTTACTGTGCGATAGCATGCAGGCTGCCCAAATCGCACTTAATCAGTTGGCGATCAGTGTCTCTAAGTATGGTATGTGCTTTGCACCGTCTAAGTGCAAAGTACTGTTACAAGATTGGCAGGAGCCTGTACCTGCACTCACTCTTGCGGGTGAACCGCTTGAAGTTGTCGATAAGTTTGTGTACCTAGGTAGTTGTGTGAGTGCTGGCGGAGGGGTGACGGATGAGATTTCCAACCGTATAATGAAAGCTAGGGTGGCATACATCAACTTGAGCCACCTCTGGCGCCGTCGCGACGTTAGCCTGGCTGTCAAAGGTCGGGTATACAATGCTTCGGTGCGGGCTGCGCTGCTCTACGCCTGTGAAACCTGGCCTCTCCGAGCTGAGGACGTGAGGCGACTCTGCGTGTTCGATCATCGCTGTCTCCACAGGATTGCTTGCGTTCGATGGCATCATCGCGTGAGTAATTCTGAGGTTCGGCGGCGTGTGTTTGAACACAGTGGAGATCACCATTCATTGAATGTCGTCATCTGGAAACACCAGCTCCGGTGGCTTGGACATGTGCTGCGAATGTCACCCCAGAGGCTTCCGTACAGGTCTCTGTTCGCTAGCTATCAGTGGGACGGGATGGAAAAGGCGGAGAGGTGGTCAGCCCAAGACGTGGCGTCGTGGGATAGACCACAAGCCAAGTTCAATACTCAAAAACTGGAGGACCAGGACACAAAGGACATCTTCACTGCAAGTATAAAAGACAAAGCCGAGACACAAATCAACACTGGCGAAGAAATCAGCGTCGAAAAGCACTGGAAAAACTTGAAAACAGTGTGGAGTCAAACCTGCATGAAAGTTCTAGGCAGAAAGAAGAGACAGGACAAACAGTGGCTCACTACGGACACTTGGAGACTGATAGAGGAGAGAAGGATGGTGAAACGAAAGATTCTCCAGTGCACCGACGAGCAACAAAAATAGGATTTGAATGCAAGCTATAAGACACTGAACAAAAGAGTAAAGAAGAGTGCCAGGGAAGACAAAAGAAAATATTATGAAGCCATGGCAAGTGAAGCAGAACAAGCTGCAGGCAAAGGAGACTTCGCAACACTCTAGCAGAGAACCGAACGCAATGGAGACGCACGGCTGAAGCCCTATGTTCCCTTAGGAATTAAAGGAAACAATAATAACAATAATAATAGAAGAATTTATCTAACATTGGTGTTGAATATCCTAATTGCATTCTTTATGCTGCGGAGTGCAGTGACGTAGGTTTGTTTTATGGGGTATTATGGGGTGAGTAACATTAGGGTTAGGCAACGAGTTTTCGGTAAGGCGGGAGAAATCAGTCGATGAGGTTATGAAGCTACACCGACAGATATGGTTAGGTCACACGTTTTACGCATGCATTCGTCGTAGCCACCGCGAAATCAGCTGACTTAGGTTGTTGTTGGTGGTGGTGGTGGTACTGGTGGTTAACCAAAAACATGGAATCAGTATATGATATCTCTGACATTTAGTTTGTTTCAGCAATGAAGCGAAGTATAGACTTCCATATTAGTTTGTTTATTAGATATATCACACAGTGAAACAGTATTAGTATTTACTGGATGACGTTTCAAACAAAATTTATTACTGTTCATAATCATATCACCAATTATAATCACACGACTTTGACACTTGAGTTTTATAGTTTTCTTTGTTCTCTCCTATTTGTCGTATCGGTAGTAGTAGATTCGACATTGACAGTTTGTACACACGTATACCAATAAATATGGCTATGGAAGCAGTCAGAAACGAACTCATTTCTGACCAAGAACTCGAACTTAGGACGAAAGTGCCACTTGAGGACATAATGCTGGGAATACAGCTATGCCTGACTACCACAGTATTTAAATTTCAGGGGAAAATATACAAACCAACTGAGGGAATTACCATGGGATCACCAATATCCCCAGTGGTAGCAGATATATTCATGAATAAGTGGGAAAGCATAGCGATTGAAACGTTCACCTCCACCCCAAAAGTATGGTGGAGGTATGTCGATGACACATTCACTGTACTTAGAACACAAGATATAGATAGGTTTTTCGAACACATCAACTCGAAGGTTGAAGCAATTCAATTCACTTATGAATTGGAAAACCAGGAAGGGGAGCTCCCAATGTTAGATTGCAACGTAAAGAGGAAAGAAGATGGGAAGTTAAACATTAGTGTTTACAGGAAACCCACACACTCAAACAGATATTTGGACTTCCGGTCATCCCATCCTATGTCGTTAAAAATAGGATTGGTGAAATGTTTAAATGACAGAGCACAAAAATTAAGTAGTACCAAAGAAAATCTAAAACAGGAACTGATACATATAAAAGAAGCCTTGAAACTTAATAATTACCCTGATAAATTAGTCAAGAAATATGTAAGGAAATGTAAAAATAAAATAAATAATGATAGTAGCGATAGTGATCATAATAATAATGATAATGATAATAGTGATAATAATAATAATAATAATAATAATAGTGACGGCGCCAACAATAAAGAATCTAAATCATCAGTAGTAATTCCATACAAGGAAGGAACCTCGGAAACCACCTTACGCAGAATTCTTAACAAGGCAGGAATAAAAATGGCATTCAAACCAACAAACTGAATTAGAAACAAGCTTTGTCGGTTAAAGGATCAATCCTGCCAGTGGAGCCTTTAAAACAAAACAATTTAGTTTATCTAATACTCTGACCGCGATGATTGTCACGTCAAATACGTAGGTGGAAGTAGTAGAACAGGCGCAGTCAGACTAGCTGGACATAAAAACCTTGCAGCAAAAGCTAGATTGGTTGACCCGAATAAGATAAGAAATCTAGAGGATAGTTCAGCTATAGCACTACATGCAATCACACACAGCCATACAATAGGCTGGATGGGATAGGATGATAGTTTTAAAATCTAATGTCACAGGGTGGATGGAGGGAGAGATTGATAACAGAAGCTTTACTTATAGAATCAACTACAAATACATGTATTAGGAATGATTCATCACATGTCACCGATATCTGGAAAATTCTACTACCCATACGAAAATTAATAATAATAATAATGATTTACTTTATTCCGAAAACAGTACTTGTGATACAGAATGGAATTTTCAGCATTAATCACAATATTGCATCTAATTTCCTCAAATTATAAATAAAATTAATCACAGAGAAAATTTTTCTACATTTACAATAGGGTCAATATAAAAAAAATAAAAAATAAAAAACATGCAGCATATAAAATGGAAATAATAATAATGATAGCAGGAGAGAGGACAAAGAAAACTATAAAACTCAAGTGTCAAAGTCGTGTGATTACAATTGATATGATTATGAACAGTAATAAATTTTGTTCGAAACTGTGTCATCCAGTAAATAATACTGTTTCACTGTGTGATATATCTAATAAACAAACTAATATGGAATTACTTAATACCATAGTGCCCAAGTTTTACACATATACGAAGAATAGACTACCTAACTGGTTCGGGTCTTAAGGATGCTATGGATCAATGAAGACTGGAGACGATCGGTGATATGGCTGTGGCTGGAAATCGTTCTCCGTGGTGATGGTTGGCGATAGCGCAGATGCATTTACTCTTTGTGATGATTTAATTATATCCAATAAAACTCTAGTGTTCTTCCGTATTACTCTCCTATTCTCTTCACCGCATTCACACTTCTGTTTACTATCTCTCTCTGCATCTACTGTTTTTTTTTGCTTTGCGTGGTACATGCAGTGAGTGTGGCAACTCAAACTGCTACAACACATCTGTGCCAAATTCAATGTTGAAACCAGTTAGTCATCCCACATCCACCCATCGGATTCTCACAACTGCTTCCACAAATAAATCTACAGAGTAAAAGAGAGTTATGATAAACTTACCTCTGAACTAATTTCTGATATTCATTTGAATAGAACATGCCTTGAGGTAAGAAATGCACAATGAACGATACACCAGCAGTTAATTGTTCATCAGACGGTTTAGAGGCAAGAGTATTGAAAAACTGTTCATTAGACATGAATGCAGGAATATAATCAGCATCTGGACAGTCGATGAAGAGGAAATTCTTAGGCGGAGCTGATGGCAAAGTAGCTTCTTCTGGTGTTATCTGAAAGGATAAGTCATAAAAACAAAATAATATTGAATTTGAACATGCATTTTTTTCTTTGAGTCTTATATAGTCACATGTTAAGTTAAATTATGCATTATATTCCAACATTGGAATTGAGAAAATTTGATACTTTTATGAGCTGAAAATATGTCCAATTCGAATTCCTTGGGTGTCTGTCATTCCATTATGGGTAAATTTTGTTTTGATAAAGTCTCACAGTGTTATACAGTAATATTTACTGATGACGTTTCGAGCACAATATATTGCCACTCATAATCATATCAAGGTAATCTCACGACTTCCTAAATTCATTTATATAGTTCCATTGTTTTTCACTTGATTTGATTGGTAGTAATATTTTTCATATCTCTGGTATTTGCATTGAGTCATTTCTGTTGCAGGTGTTGGCTGTAGATTCGATGAATAAGGATTCAGTAATCAACCTCTCTCTCCACCTACCTAGATTACTTCTTAGAATCTTAACCCTCTTACACCATGCTATTGTATAATTGCGTGTGAATGCATGCAGTGCAATGTGGTGCTGAGCTTTTTTCTAAATTACTTATCTTCTCTGGGTCAACCATTCTTACCTTAGCTAAATTCTTATGTTCTGACAATCTGACTACCCATGACCTACCAGTTTGACCTATGTAGTTGACCTCACAGTCATTGCAGGGTATTTTGTAAATTATATTATTTTGTCTAATTGGGTCCACTGGATCCTTTAACCTACAGAGCTTGTCCTACCTGAGTGAGTTTGTAGGTTTAAATGCCACCCTAATTCCTGCTTTATTTAGAATCCTTCGTAGAGTCTCAGATGTCCCCTCTTTATATGGTATAACAGTAGATGACTTATATTCTCTCTTATTTATGTTATCATTACTAGTTTCACAATTCTTTTTATTTTTCTTTTGGCCTTTTTCAATCTTCCTAATAAATTTTAAAGGATAGTTATTTAACACAAATGCTTCTTCTATCTGTTTTATTTCATTATTTAGTTCCTTTTTGTGCTACTTAGTGTCATTGCTCGGTTCGTTAAACACTACTAAGCCTGCCTTAAAAGTTAAAGGATGAAATGAATTAAAGTCGAAATATCTATTAGAATGCGTTGGTTTTCTATAAACACTAGTGTGTAGTTTGCCTTCTTCTATTCGTTTTATTTTACAATCTAACATCACAGCTAATTCTCCTTGCTCAATTTGATGATATCGCAGTGGGAGAAGCCCCTTGGGACCTAGTTTCTGCAGATTTATTCTCGTTAGGCGAAGAAGCCGGTTATTTTGCAACAACATATACAACGAACGCACGTACATCTAAGACATTGTGTTGATGATATTTCTATCGTATGTGAAAGCAGATCAAAAGCTGAAAACCTCCTGTTGATAAAATTCAACTCATGCCATCCGAATCTCAACTGTTGGAAATCCTTTTCGTGATGCACACGCAGTGCAAGTTTCTGACCTGTTTAGAAGAATTGACTGACTGACTGAATGACTTCATTGATATTTGTAATGAACATCCAAACCTTGTTGTCTATGTTGAGGCGGAGTGAGGCAAGAGAAGATTTCCAAACTGGTTTCAGGTTGATGAGAAGACGTATCTTGCCTTTCCCATTCTGTCTGGCTGGCTGGCTGGTTTTGACATCTTCATCCATTAATACCGACTGCCTGTGGTTGAAACGATGTTGGCTGCGTAGACTAGATAAGTGGATGAAGTGACCTCTTTCAACCTCTTTCTCCCGTTGATAGTGACCGGTGCTGATTATTGTAACTTCATAACCTCCGTCTTCTCTATGTTCACCTTATTACGTAACTCCCATACACTGGTTCAACTCCTATTATTCATTGACTAATATTCATAGTTACGATTGTGACAACTCATCGGTTTTGTCAGTACCCTTTTTCATGGAAAATTATAGAGAGAGATTCAATTGTACATTATTATTATTACTGTTGTTTCCTTTTATTCCTAGAGGAACATAGAGCTTCAGCCGTGCGTCTCCATTGAGTTCGGTTCTCTGCTAGAATCTTCACCTGACACCAAGTCTGTCCACACGTTTTCATCTCCTCTTCACATGACCTCCTCCAAGTCACCCACCCTCGCACTGACGACCAACTCGCCGCTTCCCTTTCGGTCGGGTTCCACTTGAGCAATGGCTTGTCTAGTGATGTCACTTGATGGTTTCCTCGGAGTATGGCCTGCCAATTCATCTCCATTTCTTCCTGCCTATTTGTTTCACAATCGGTTCCTGCTGTGTTGGTTCGCTCAACGCCAGAGATCCCTGTTGCTTATCTTTTCTGGCCCGCCATCTGATCTTGAGCATTGAGCGAAGACAACTGTTAATGAAGGTCTGTAGTTTGTTTGAGATGCTCTTCATGACGCGCCAAGTCTCTGTACAGCTAAACAGGAAAATGAATTCGACGTAAAAGTAACCTCTTTCCTGAACTACGCGTTTTGTTCTCATTAATGGCTGCATGAGGATTATTCAAGGACTTATTGTGACAAATTAGAATGCTTATGTAATCGTGAAACGCTTAAACCTTACTACTGTGCATACAAATGATGTATTGAATAGTTCCTTGAACAAGCTGACCAGCTGAAACATAATGAAATAAAAAAAACTTTCCGCTATGAACCTCTGTGAGCTGTCGCTGGCAGTCCCTTTAATTAACTAATGGTCTATTTCATAATACGATATTCTGACCAGACACTACAATTCATCTCTATGGAACAGACTCATATTTAAAGACCTAAGGGAGACAGCATTCTCCCAAATAAAAGATATTTAACCTTATAACTAGTAGCCGAGATTTAGAATGGAGCACAGGATCATCCTGGAGAGAACCAAACACGCCAACCTGCATGAAAAACTTCGACTGGAACAGGCTGGATTCAGGAGAAACAATCCATGCATCGATCAAATCGCCACATTACCGATCATCAGTGAACAAAGACTGGAATGGCAGTCACCTCTCTATCTCAACTTCATCGACTTTGAAAAAGCCTTCAACAGCGCAGCGTCGATCGACAGGTGATTTGGAAACTACTTCGCTACTACGGGGTGCCACCGACAATCATGCATCTCATCCAACAGCTGTACGACAGTGATGCATGTCAAGTAATCCACAACGGGAAACTTACGGAATCCTTCAAAGTAGGGACGGGAGTAAGACAAGCTAGCTGCCTACTATCGCCAATGATTTTACTGATTGCAGTAGACTGGATAATGCGACAGACAGCGGGCCAGGCAGCGAAGAAACAGGCATAAAATGGACTCGCACAAAAACTTGGAGGATCTGAACTTCGCCGATGATATGTGTCTGATTTCTCACAAACTAGAAGATATGCAAGTGAAAAGCAACTAGTCGGCAGAAGAAGCATCAAAGGTAAGCCTTAAGGTAAACATAGAGAAAACTGAGGTGATGAAGATTCCTGACCAACAGCAACAACAACAGACAACAATCAGCCAGCATAAATGGGAGAAAACTGAAAGAAGCAACCTCCCTCACCTACAGACTTCGCAAGCATCGTTTCAACTTCAGGCGGACGGAGATGATGAGAATATCAAAGCGAGGATCGGGAAAGCAAGGCAAGCTTTCATTACTCTCGAGTCTGTGTGGAAATGAACAGCACTTAGCATCAAAAATAAGATACGGATTTTCAACTACAATGTGAAGTCACTGCTGCTTTCTACGGATCAGAGACTTGGCCAGCGCGTCATGAAGAGCACCTCAAACAAACTACAGACCTTCATCAACACCTGTCTTCGCTCAATATCAGATGAATGGCCAGAAAAGATCAACAATGGGGATCTCTGAGAGCGAACCAACCAGGAACCAATTGTGCAAGAAATTTACAGGAAGAAACGGAGCTGAATTGGATTGTGGTCATACTCTGAGAAAACAAACCATCAAGTGAGTGACATCACAAGCCAGGCTCTCTCTCTTGAGTGGAACCCTGACGCGGTGCGACTTGGTCGTCAGTGTGAGGGTGACATGAAGGAGTTCATGTGAAGAGGAGATGAAAGCATGTAGGCAGACTTGGAGCTAGGTGAAAACGTTGGCAGAGAACTGAACGCAATGGAGATGTGCGGCTGAAGCCGTTATGTTCCTCTAGGAATTAAAGGAAATAATAATAATAATCCTATAATTTCACACCCCTTCCAACATATATATATCTTCTGATTTATTCTGTCTAACAACATTAATCGTTAACCACTTGACACTTAGCTTAGTGATTATAATCATAAATATTTTTATTGTATTTCATACCACTATTGTCATTTTATGTATTCACACCTATGATTCAATTCCCTCATCGGATATAACTTCTTAAAAAGGCCATATATATACGATTGTACAGCTTGATAATAAATTCGTTGTTGAAAAGAGTCTCTTCGCTGACTGAATCACCCCTTGTTTTGATTTTCTATATATGCCAAAGGTTGAATTTTCCATGGGTGTGGAATTACACGTTAGATGCATTGAGGTACTCGCTAAAATGTTGGATGAGATGTATAATTGTCGGCGGCACCTCGTAGTAGCGAAGTAGTAGGCACTTAACTTAACACTGTGTGAAATTTGATTACATGGAATTTAACGTTGCGAAACAAAAATTTGGATTTACAATGACAAGTGGAACAACTGAAATAATACTGGGGACAATTCGCAGTGAGAGTAGTAGTAGTAGTAACTCACAATTGACGTAACAATGGAAGAGTGTATACAAATTGAATAAACAAAACGAAAAATAAGTAGAGGCAAAATATGAAATGGGGATTACCATACTTTAACATAGAGGGATTAAGACTATAAAAAGTTGAGGGGAAGGGGTTGAACCAACTCCTTCTTTTTCTGTACACTGAGATCTGGCTTTTCCGTTTCGATGACCAAAGATGTCTTCAGCAATTCAGATGAATCGGCGGATACGTTGTGATTTGGATAAATTACTTCTCGCTTTGTAGAGAGATGACTTTTTAGGCGGAGTCTGTAGAGATCATTAGGTGGTCATTATCAACCAGATGTTCAATGGTCACGCTTTTTATTGCTCCACTTCCACGTCTATGTAACTATTACCATGCAGGATGGTGTTCTTGCATCTTTTTGGACAAATTTCACACAATGTTACGTAGCGTTTGTATTTCTATTCTATGTGCCTACTAATCCTATAATTTCACATCCCTTACAGTATCTATACCACTTCACATCTAACTATGGTTACAACCATAAATATCTGTAACGTCTGTATCGTTTCCCATTAAGTCTCAGTCAGACTGCTTCAAATTAAATAGCTTCCTGTCGGACATCTGTCAGTGGTCCAAACTATATGGTCTCATGCTGAATCCCTCAAAATGCCAGACTATTGACTTCTCCCTTAGGCATAAACGAGATCTACAAACACTAGTAAGTTTTCATGAAGCCTGTTGCATTGAGGGGACTAAAATTGAAACTAAGTCTAATGCAAAATACCTCGGTCTAGTTAATTCTATCTTCCGACCTTACTTGAACATCTCATATCCAAACGATTTCTAGGAAAGTGTTCTGTCTAACCTACTACATTAAGAAACTTAGACAATCTGGAATCACCCAACTTCTACTTTCACAATTTCTCAACTATCGTATCTTGCCCTATTCTACTTTACTGCTCCCCGTGAGTCTTTCCTGATCTACCGAAAAAGGACTATACCATCCTGAAAAGGATGTTGAAGGTAGTCAGTAGGACTAGTGGTGTAATACTCAGTCAGCTCGTCACTACATTAGTTGATAGGCATCTGAATACATGCGAATAATGGCCTAAAACCATACTCTCCGACCCCCAACATCCCTGCTATTCCCAACTCTCGCCTTGTATCTCATCAAGTAGGACGAGAAATCAGTATAAAATAATTTATGCTCTTATAACCAAGTACAGGAACTCAACGATACCATATTTGGCCCGTGTACTAAGCGACAGAGACAATGTTAAGCGCGAAACCTATGACTTGCTTACTTGTTAATAACATAATTTTAGGCTCTTTTATTTCCCTCTTATTCTGTATTCTATAGTGAACTCCTTCTTAAACATACTTAGCTACCTAAATTATTAACATTGTCTTCCTGTTTTGTACTTTACTCTATTCCTTCTTTTGTGTATCTACTGGTTCCGACTATATTAGCACCATAAGTATTACAAAATTGTCCTGTCATCAACCATCATGTAATTATTAGTTTTGCGGTTGTTTTCTTTCTTATTTTTTATTCCTTTCGGCCATATTAACTGACAATCATTGGTTGTGAACGCCATTGTCACCAACTTAAAAATTTTGTATTATGCAGGATTACTCACACTACCACTACAAACACTGCATTAGACCTGACAATAAAAAACAAAACAACAACCCTGAAATGTTATTTCATGAGTGTTTAGAGTTGTTTCAACCAAATTAACTGATCATCTTGTCGATAAACTTTCTTAAATATCATTCCATAACTTCTTGTATGACTATAGCTTTACTGTCACCATGCATAATCATATCATAGCTTCCACTACCCAACACTGAGTTATTATTATATGATGTTTATTTTCCTTTCTACTTCTTGGTATTTTTTCGCATTTAAAAAAACATTATTTTTGTGTTTATCCTGTTTTTCCTGTTTTTTTTTTTGCTGTTGGTGTCTTTATATTTATTTTTTTTAGATACTCCATTCAAATGTTTGATAAAATTAGATGCAAATATTGAAGATATGTGCTGAAAATTCCACATTGTACCACTAGTACTGTTTCTGGAATAAAGCAAATTATTAGTATCATTAATTGCATTTCATACTATTATTATTATTTTATGTATTCACACCAATGATTCAATTCCCTCACCGGATGTAATTTCTTAAAAACAGCCATATATGTATGTATATACGATCGTACAGCTTGATAATAAATCCGTTGTTAAAAAAAGAGTCTCCCCGCTGAATCACCACTTGTTTTGATTTTCTATAATTCCTAATCACTGTTGCTGAATTTCGCATGAGAAAAACCCATAATTTTTACGCTACACTCGAAAGCCAAAAACAAAAAATGACAGTATATGACATGAAATCGTATCCCAGTAAGGAGAGATTTGAAGAAACTAAAAACTCGGCTTACCACACGTCCATCATTTAAGACCAAATTCTCTCCATTTATCAGAGTTTGTATTGCTCCAGATTTCAAAACCGATCTGTTGAAATGTTGTTGTTTTTTTTTCAGAAGAAAAATAAAAGTTTACTACACTTAGATAAATTTCACCTCAAATCTATTTGACACGATCAACAAAAATAACGATGGTGCACTTATTTTTTTACAAAACAAAAAAAATGCAATTTGTGCCACGACAGCTAATGTTTCTTTTTGCAGTTTAAAGATAATTTTCTGCAGTGTCTCTTATGTTAATGTGTTACAATTTGAGCGAAGTTTCTACAGTACATAAAAATCTTAAGAAGCGTTCTATCCATGAAACCCTACTAACTGCAGGTCCATCACCCAGTTGGGAGCGAGGACAAAAAAAAATACGCGCTGATGACATTTGGCTAGTGTGGTCGAACGAAAATCACTAATTGGAAGAATTCGGAGTTGATGGATCATTGAATAGGGTTCCAGGAGCCTCCAAAGCCTCAGGATGGTCGGGGTTGGGTGCCTTGCGCTGCGGGTTGGCCACCCCCTCCGCACACCTCTTGAAATGCTGCCATATGACCGGGCGTCTTACATAGCCTCTCCTGAGAGAGGCCTACTCACTACCTTCGCGCGGCGATGTTTTTCACCAAAGTGAGTGGGCGAAAGCGGATGCCCGGCGCTCTTCACCGGGTTGACTGTCTATTGGATGACAGTCTAGGGGAGATGGCTAAACCCTGATTCCAAACCTCCAACGACTGGCGTATGAAGCTCACTGGAGCTCACCGTCAGACGTATGGACAAAGGGCTTGTTGGATGTCCTGGACGTCTGACCCCATTCAAAAAGGCGTATGAACCGAACTCCGGTCACCGGCTGCCAATGGATAGTCGACTCCCTACTCCACTCCTACTGCCTTGTAGGTCACACTTGGTTGTGTAAAGGCTAGAGCTGCACTCTCAAACAAAAGGCCGAGCGATTCTTGGGACATCACTCGTACCAAATTCCCATGAAACTTCATGAAATCTCTTACATGGCTTGGTACAGTCAAGGCTGATATGGAGTGCCTGGGGCTACAAACCGTCTACGGACTCCGTCTATGGAACAAGAATTGGATAACCCTGTCGCAAAACCTTGCATCAGATCGCCGCGCCTGGGCAGCGATGATTCGAGATGTTCATGAAGTGAAGAAGTAAAGAAGAAGTTTCAGGAGCTGTGGAACAGTCTATGTGGATGATATACTCCTCTAAGTTGAAGACAATCACATAAAATCTAAAGTCTTCTAAACAACTTGAGAAAAGAATTCCTTGAATGTTTGGCATGCGACTTTTGTTCCTGCTGTCAAATGTAACATGTTGATGCTGCACGATTCGACTGAACCCACTCCTAGCTCCAAGATAAGGAGTTACATGATAGAGCAGATTGACCACTTCACTAATTTGGTAAGTTGCATCGGCCCGAACCAGCTGATTTCTGATGAAATCACAGGAAGAATACAAAAGGCTCGTCTAGGGGGATTTAACAACTTACGTCGTCTCCGGCATGGACGTGATATCCGGCTATTCATCCAAAGATACGTGTACTATGACTGACTTCTCCATCTCCCCCTCTGTCTCTCCCTGAGTAATGGCCACTGAAAGTAGAAGTTATGAAAAAAGGCTAGCTAGCTGTCTGCGTTCTAGCTAAGTGGTGAGTAATAATGAGGTCAGCCTTCGAGTACTAGGTAAACAGCGAAAGTCAATCAATGGGGTTGTTGTGAAACTGTGCCGATTGTAGGATGGTTAAGACATGTGTAACGCCTTCCTCGACAGATAATGTAATGTTAGCTGATATAGGATAAAAAAAGTTGGAAAAGAGCTAGTGGTGGTCAGTTCCTGAAATCTGTGACAGTTATTTTGAGGCTGGATTTTTAGAACCAACAGATCCAGATAATACGGTGATATGGTTCAAAATCGCTCTCAGCGGCGAAGATGCATTCACTCTATATGTCATCATTCATGTCCTTAAAAACAAAAAACGTATCGTGCCTTTCATGTATCAGTATTCCTCCTTTCTCTCCCACATTTCTGTTTATAATCTTTATTCTCAGTCTCTTCTAGCTCCCTCCCTCTCCATCTTATGTATTCCTCTGTGTAGTACATGGTGTGTAGGAACTAGAACGTGTGCACTCCTGTGGAAATTTCTGTGTTTTGAAACCCAGTCAGTCAATAACTTTAGGCTTTTTGGGAGAAGTTTTAATTTATACATAGAAGTTTTAACAATCTCATAATACAATTAGTAAGTTCAGATGAATTGGATGTTGATATAAGGGAGAGTAGTAACAAAAGTGATCAGTGACCCTCGACATTGAGTCACTATTTACCAACGTTCCACTCACAGAAACTGTCTGCCACATTTGTCAATACATAGAAGAAAATCAGCTAAACATCGGATTACCGACGACTTGCTGAAAAGAACTACTGCTGAGATGTACACTCAATGTACAATTCACATCCAACAAGGTTATTTACAGACAACAAGATGGGATCGCAATGGGATCTCCACCGGGCCCATTACTAGCAGACTGCTTCATGGCGATCCTCGAGAACGGCCCACTCAAATCAACTATCGACAATTTCCAACTGTATGTTAGATATGTGGACGACATCTTTATTATCTGTGATGACGACCACGATCTCAATGAGTTACTGCAAATATTCAACAAATGCCATCCAGCCACAAAGTTCACTCTTGAAATTGAAAACGAATCTAAAATACCTTTTCTTGATGTGGAACTTACAAGGAGAGCTGGCGGAACTTTAAGAAGGTCAATCCATAAGAAACCCACATGGAACGGCCAACTGACAAGCTTCTACCAATCAGTCGAAAAAGAAACCTAATTAGATCTCTTGCCACTAGCGTCCGACGCATCTGCAGCTCTGATACCATGGAAGAAGAACTAAACTTCCTCAAAGAAACCTTCATACAAAACGGTTACCCATCAAGATTCGTGGACAAAAACATCAAACAAAAAATCCAAAAGCAAGAAACAGCATCTGTGCCAAAAAAGATACTTTATATGAACCTCGACTTCAAAGGAGACCTACTCAGTGACGTCCTTAGAAGGAGAATCTCCACCTCTTTAAGAAGAACTTTCTTCGCGGCAACATTGAGAGTAGTCTTCTCTAGTCGCCCGCTGATCTGCAGAAGCCCAAAAGACAAGATCCCGCACCTGACCACTACTTCTATGTGTATATATCAGTTCACCTGTTGCTGTGGAGCCAGCCAGGTACATCGGTCGTTCAACGCGTATCCTGTCAAAAAGGGTCAAAGAACACTATCCAGCATGGCTACAGAAAGGAAGTAATGGCTGCATAAGGAGTGCAATAATAGAACACCTCGTCAACACTGGTCATTCCATCTCAACAAACGCCTCCTGCTTCAAAGTAATCTACAAAGTGAAGAACAACCTTCCAAAGACAGTACGATTCCGTCTTCTTTGCATCGCAGAGGCCCTAGCCATTAAGCTAGAGGAACCAGAACTGTGCATACAAAAGAAAATTATTCAACCACTTCTACTCCCATGGTAACAACTCTGTTGATTTGACTTAACCTTTGTTTGTATGCTTATTTTTCTACTTAAAACTCTTGTGTAATTCCGTATGTTATTTTGTTTCCATGTACACCCTGAGTACAACTCTTTCATTAAACTATTCATGTTATTACGTAACTCCTCTTTAACAATCGTTTGTGACAACTCATCACTTTTGTTACTACTCTCTTATATCAACATCCAATTCATCTGAACTTACTAAGTGTATTTTCCTTTGACAAATTTAATGTACACACACACACACATGCAAAACAATCTCATAATAATAATAATTTAAATTCGTGTAAAATCGATAAGATAATTTAAATGACACGCCTGACTTACGTCGGTATACCAGCTTCAATGCATTTCGACATTACCAGCTTACGACGTGTACGATACGACTAAGGTAGACATATAAGTAGAACAAAAATTAAAGCATAAGTACTAGAGATGACATAGGAATAACAAGTTAAAATCAACTTTAGTAATAATAATAATCGCTTTATTGCAGACAGTACTTTCGGTACAAATGTGGAATTTACAGCAGTACAGCAGTAGTACAGTAAGTACTGCATCTAATTTTCTCATTACAGGGGTAATAATTAATATAGGGTATTAACATTGATAATATTTGGAAAACAGAAAGATTGAGCGAAGAAATATTTACTTTATAATTCGATCCTCTTCTCTGGCTCTACTCTAATATATATAGCATTTTTACAAAACACAACAATTTACCAAACAAGTGGTGATATGTTTGTTAACAGTAATTCATGGTAAGGAAAGAAAATGGCACACTAAGAAGGAGTGTGTGTATAGGAAACCTACAACAACAGGTCAGTACACTCATTTTTTGAGTTTTGTACCTTTGAAATATAAACACGTAACCTGGTAAAGTGTCTGGTTCATAGGGCTAAGTTAATCTGTTCAGACGACTGCCTCAATGAGGAGCTTAAGATTATTAGAGAATTACTTAGAAAAAATGGTTATCCAGATAAATTCATCGAGAAAAATATGAATTCAGCACCAAGGAGAGTCAATATTGCTACAGTTTCGAAAAAACCAATGTTCATAAAATTGCAGTTCCTCGGTGACAACATCAGTGAAATCATTACACAGCGCTTGAAGAATGCAGTTAAAAGAGCTTACTATGCAGCAGAGGTACGTTGTCTCTTCACAACCACCCCTATTCTATGTTCGAGAAATAAAGATAAACTACCTAAATTTGCCTCTTCTATGTGTATCTACCAGTTTGACTGCAGCTGCAGAGCCAGCTACATTGGGCGTACAATTAGGCAGTTTCATCGTCGTATTTCTGAACATCATCCAGCGTGGTTAAGCAAGGGACAAACAAGATCTATTCGTAGTTCCATTTTAGCACACCTTGTTGATACGGAGCATAAGGTTGATGTGAATACTGCATTTAAAATTATTTATCGCATTCCGACTTATCTTAGCTTTGCTCTACGAGTTCATCTTCTACAGACAGCTGAAGTAATCGGAATCCACCAGAGGAAACGAAGCCTATGTGTACAGAAGAAATTTGTACAGCCACTTTCCTTACCGTGGCCATCGTTACAATACAGGACTACGTCGCCCCCCTCCCCCTGTTAAATTATAATTGTCCAAATTATTTTATTTTTATTTTGACCACTTCATCTTTAATTATGTGTTATCCTTGTAAAATTAATTTATTCATTCCATTTCTACCTTTTAATTGTGTGTATTGATTTTCTTCGTTAATTATCAACCCATTGACATTTTGACACTGTTTAATTATTGTTAACAAACATATCACCACTTGTTTGGTAAGTTGTTGTGTATTGTAAAAAATGCTATTCGTGTATATTAGAGTAGAGCCATAGAAAAGGATCTAATTGAAAAGTAAATATTTCTTCGCTGCTCAATCTTTCTGTTTTCCAAATGTCTAAATGGGGATATTTTCTATATTGATAATATTGTTCAATAAGAAAGTGAATATAGAATTAAATCAAGTGAAAATATTAACGATAGTGTAACGATGAGAACAAAAAATGGGGCCGTTGACTTAGAATTCTTCAGTAAGTGTGTGTGTGTGTGTGTGCGTCCCGACTGAATAAGGTATTGTCGAATTTGTGTACTTAGTCGTCTGCGCATACAGTCTTCGATAGTTGTCGCCTCTAGTTCCGCCGCCAATCGATGAGATAGATGCAAGGGGAGGGTTGTGTGTGTGTGTGTATGTGTGTATAGAGACCATGTTCACAGTCTGACAAGAGTTTGCCGATATTTGCTAATTTCTTGCAGGAATCCAAGTGTCTATCTACAATAGCATTAAAGAGTTGGAATGGCAACACCCCACTCACTCACGGCTTTTAGTGCCCTTCTCAGTGTAACAAACAAAGCCTTTCTCGAGTGACGCGAGAAGGAATAAGGTGGATGGGGAGGAGCAGTAAAAAAGTATGGGCGGAATGCAAGAATTAACAAAGTGTAACAGTAGACACGGAATGATACCAGATCGCCTTAACTTCCTCACATAGAATGTGAAACGAAATATCCTTGTGGAAACTAACTAACATGATGTACGAAGACCAGGAGAGGTGATCAGAGGAAATACACAGTCCAAGGTATTTAACATTCGATTTAGTTTGAACTTCAGTGCCTTGTGTGATGTGATAGTGGAACCGTGCTAACCAACCAGTCCACGTAAGTCATCACACTTGTGTCTGAAAGTAAAATTAACCATCTGACATTTGTGCAGGGATTAGGCTGGCTTGAGACCATTTGACGACGACCACTGACTAATTTCTGATGAAAATTTATTCATTTCGGAACAGTCCGACTGAGAATTAACCCATCGGCATAGAAACAGTCAGCAGTAACGATGATGAAATGTTCATGCCGATAGTGTCATAAAAATTCAAAATCTCATCTAATTAACTGACTCAAAAAAAAATCAATCAATGCACAAAGGTCCAGTACAATACTAATTAATACTGGAACATTCTTATTACGAAAAGCATATATTATTCTTAAAATTTTACCATACACCCGTAGTTTATAGTTAGATGAACCTTCAAAGCAACTGTGCCATTGTAATTATTCGTTTTGACACTATCAGCGATAGAAAGTTATGTGTGTGAACCCAATGCTCGAATATGAAAAATTTTTCAGTTAGTTAGAATTCAGTTACCCGGTATCAGCCTATAAAAAGCCGAAATTATTTGTGTGCGTGTGGTGGTGGACGTGGAGGCAGTGGTACTGCCCAGATTGAAGTAGGTGTGGGGGAGAAACTCAGGCCCATCGACTATCGGCTGAAAGCTTAGGCTTGCGAGTGCTAAAGGTGTGTGTTCATAGGATATCTACACATTTGATTCATCCTACATGTAAGACTAAATTTAGCGACAAACTAAGATGCCTCACAGGAACAGGGCTTTTGGATAGTATAGGTGAACTGATAGATGCACATGCAGGCGACCAGACGGGGGAGCTTATCTTTCATAGAGATGGAGAACAACTTGCGACTGGTAAACGTCATTTGTAATTTTGCTGCAAAGAACGTCTTATTGACTGCTTTAGAGAGGCGGCTTTTGAGCATATCTGAAGCTTGACCACCTCTGAATTCCAAGTTCAAGAATAAGGTTTTCTTCGGAACTGAGTCAGTGACCAGTTTAGACTGCTTATCTCTCGTGTTACTGTCAATAAATAGGTTCGGGTAACCGTTTTCTGCGAGCGTGGCTTTTAGGAAGTCAAGTTCTGAGTCAACGCAATCAGAACTACAAATTTTTCTTATCCTAAAGCAGAGCGAATGAATTAGGTTCCTTATCCTGGAGATAGGCACCCAACTACAAAAATTGGCTAGTTGTCCGTTTCATGTACGTTTCCGGTGGATGGATCTTTCGAGAGATCCGTCATTACGTCTACTAAGGCACACATCAAAAAACGGAATACTTAGTTCAGATTCCTTTTCTATGGTGAATTGTAAAGAAGGATGCCAGTTTTGTGTTGAAAGCAAACAAGATATCATCAAGAATTACGCTATTATCACCGATAACGAGAGCGTCGTCTACGTATCTTCTATAAATGTCGAAATTTGTGGGTGAGCCAAAGTAAACTTTCGGAGAAGGACCCCGACGTATATATATATATATACCATATTGTAAGATCAATTCAATTCCCATCCTTGAATCAAGTCAACCTGTCCCGGATCAGCTTAGCGTTGTTGCAACCCAATTAACCATGCCTTACGTGTCTATCCCCCCCCCTTGTTTAATGAACTCTATGTGTGTGTTTTTTACATCGATCGGTTTATTGTTGGTATTAGATGGTTGGAGGCAATCGGCAGGAAGCCTTGGACCTAGGTTTCGTCCTAGTTGGCACTCATCAGCAAGGCGTATCTGCAACCTTGAAGGAACTGATGTCCCTTCTGAGATTCGAACCCGCGTCACCCAGTGCTGCAGTCAGAGACGTTACCACTGAGCTATCCAGGCCAACTAGCACGAAACCTAGGTCCAAGGCTTCCTGCCGATTGCCTCCAACCACCTAATACCAACAATTCACAGTGCACGGTAATGGCGAGCCACCTAGCATGGTGGCCACATTGCAAACATGACTGATAGAATTCAGTCTGCACCGAAGATAGGACTAGACACATTACACTAGTTACTGATTAGTGTGCAATCAAAAATATCGATCCGTTTAGTCAGACCGTTGAACTCATGACGCAATCAGAATATTTTGTGAACTGTTATTTTTGCTGACCCATGTCTTACTTTGTACTATTCTGTCGAGTTTATCTTATTTATTGATCTTCATCTGTATCAGCCTACCTGGTTAAGCAGCCAATTTAATTCTCTCTTTGTGCCTATGCTCTGTCTATGTCTTACTTGGGTTCATTCTTCTACTGACTGCTTACCTGAACGGTCGTGTCTGATTCCGGCTAGTTCGCAATTTTGGCTTTAACGTTATTCTGCTCTGATAGCGGTACCTTGCTTTCTGTTAAGCGTTGTGCTTTGTACTCTTGAAACCGTTAAGGTTTGTTGTACATATATAATTGTTGATTTGTTTATTAATAGTACCGTAGAAACAGTGACCGGCTTTTTGTTAGTTCTGGACCGGGATAGCCTTTATCTACGCGTGACTTAATTTCAAGCGATATTGCGCTTACACACATAATTGCAAGAACACCTCATAAGCTAATCAATCAACTTAGGCAATGAGTGTTTCCCCACAACAGAAATTTAGTTCCCAATACAATAACACATTATCCAAGCACCAACAACAAAAACGAGTCGGTGGCACAGTGGTTAGGACGCTCGTCTACCGTGCACGTGGTCCGGGTTTCGATCCCCGGCCACTGACGCACTCCTATGCCTCACTAAGCCAGTAAAAGAACTGGCAAAGAGGGAAGGTTGGGCATGAGACTAGCAACCCCATCCCGTAAAAGTAAACACCGCTGCTACAGAAACTCCGAGCCTCTAGCTTGAAGGCACCCTATTTTCCACTGGGAACGTGAAGGAATAAAAAATAAGAAAACAAAAACGCAAACCACACAATCTCACTCACCTGAAAGTAATAACTGAAAACAGTTGACTCACGACGACAAGGATACCCATCTTCCTCCTTAGATCGCTTTGGAACTGAAAATTAACACATCTGCATATCACAGTAAAATATAAGCAGCAAACTTTGGTATATATTTACAAACATTTGAAATGGTGGCGGGTGGCTCATTGACTTAAGCAGTCGGCTTACAACCAACACGGCCAAGGGAGGTGTGATTTTTTGCACTACATCTACTACTTCACAGTCTGAACTGAACAACTGAGCAGTATCGTCAGTCTATGATCCTGGCAGGAGCAGGACCTGCTCTCCATAAGTGAGTTCAAATCAGTCTGGAAATCTTCTACAGTAACTCAGAACAACAACAAAAAAAAACAAGGTTCGGATTTTTAAGACCAATGTTAAGTCAGAAACTTGGTGCCTGCGTCACGGAAAGCGTCCCTTAACAGGCCACTGAAGACTCTTATCAATAGCTGCCCCCTTCACTGGCTGGCTCTGTACTGATGATCAGATGGCCGGTGGAAAAAATTCGCAAAAAAGGAACCCAATAAAAGAACCTGTTGCTAGAGAGAAACATCCCAGAGGAAATGGAGATGGATAGGACACACAGGCTGAGGAGACTGTCGGCAGAAATTGCGCGCCATGCGCGCTGTCCAGTAAGACCCTAGTGGGAAACGACGAATGGGGCGTGGGTCCGAGAGTGCGACATGGAGGATGTTGTGTGAGGAGATGAGAGCCTATAGGCGATCGTCGGGGCACCTGAAGAGGACCGGAGAAAACAGGACAGAGTGGAGAAGCGCTGTTCAAGTCTTGTATTTCACTCGACATCAAAAGGAATAATAATAATATAGCTGATTATTCGCAAGACTGAGTGATAACACTTATGCCAACCAAATAGTCTAAGTGCTACGAATTTTCCCATCGAAATCCCTCTGACAATGTAGGGAATACATTTTAGGATTTTAGTAAAAGTAGAGCAATCAAGTTTAAGTGACTGATTACAAACAGCTAAGCATTGTGATGTCTAACATCTTCTTTTTATTCCTTTACGTTCCCAGTGGAACATAGGAGCTTCAGGCCAGAGGCCTGTGGTTAGGACTCTCGCCGACCATGCACATGGTCCGGGGTTCGATCCCTTGCCGGCGCACACCCGATATCTATGGTCGGCCTGAATTTGGGCTACCGATATCCATGCTGAAAATTCCACACTTGTACTGAAAATACGGTGTGGAATCAAGCTGTAAATCAAAATAAAAATAAAATAAATAAAATAAAATTTCGGTAGCAGTGGTGTCTGTTTTTACAGGATGGGGTGGTTGCTAGCCGCATGCCCAATCTTCCCTCTTTACCAGTCTTATTACCCACCTCTCTCATGTTAACAACTCCAACTGTATGTACAAATTTGCATGTATCTACAGGAGCAGTTACATTTGGAGAACAGAAACAAGAAGGGAACACCTCCGACTTTCTGAACATGTACCAAAAAGCCTGCGTCTCAAGGGAACAAATACTTTCAACAGTGCTATTGCTAGGCATCTCCTTGATACGGGTCGGTCATGAGGTGGAAATCGCGAAATCCCTTAAAATTATCAATACGCACAGAAGTTCAATTCTCCTCAAGTTTGCTGAAGCAATAATCTCTATCAAACGCCTGGAACCCGATTTATGCGTTCAGAAAGAAGCAGTTATCAACAGTCTTTCCTTGCTCTGGTAAGTAGATGTCTTCACTGTCTCCCTTTCATTATATTACGTAATCTTCGGCTTTAACCTTACCCTCTACCCCCAATTACACATAGTGTAATTTTGCTTGTCTCTTGTTCCTATGATTTCAGTTGTGCTCAATACATTTTTACCAAATTTATTTAGTATTCATCATCTTACGCATCTCTTGTCTTTATTATGTAACTCCTTTATCATTGAATGCACACATTTACTTTGTTTAAACTTTTACTCCCTGTGCAAAAACTATATAGGCGTAATTTTCTGAGCACTGTTCATTAAGTTTGGAGTCTCTTGCCACTAACTGAAGTCATGTAAAATTTTCAAGTGTGTTGGAGCTTTTCTGTACATAAACTTATTAATAATAATAAAATTTATTTAAGTGTTGGTTTGTAGGGATTTGATTGGTTACAGGATTTCATCATGAGCTGACATCAGTTAGAGAACTATTGGAAAACCTGGGAGAACTGGACAGCTGTTTCGTCCTAGTTTGGGACTCTTCATCAGTACGCACCCACCGGCTGTGCGCAGCTCAGTTGATGAGAAGCCAACGAAATAAACAATGATGATACCATCTTCTTATTCTGCACACATCACTGTTGTTCTTGCTTCATTCAAACCGACGCTTAACAAGGAAGGAGCTATATCCTCAAAAGATGTGTTCAGCAGGATCACCCTGCTATTAACGCAAATACATAATTAGCTGGCAATTGAAGAAGACATTGGGAAGTGGTCGCGCTAAGTCGTGAATTAGCAGAAGTAAGAATGCATAGACCATTGGATCTGGTCCCAGTGGTCCTGGGCTCAGCCCCCCCCCACCCCGTGGTGGGTGCGTACTGATGAAGAGTCAGTCCCAAACCAGGCTGACGAAACAGCTGTCCAGTACTCCCAGGTGGTTTTCCAATGGTTCTCTAACTGATGTCAGCTCATGTAAAATCCGCCAACAAATCGAAGGAAATCCCTACGAAACCAATAAATGACAGTTGAATTCATTCAACGAGCTCTGGCGACTAGGATCTCATACGTGAATATGATAAAAATAAATGACTACAAGAACAAAACATGTTTCCAACGAAACCTACCTGGTTCTTCATTCAAATCGCTTGGCTTGCATACTTCAAAAGACTGTACACAGAATGCATCATCAGTGTAGCATTTCCGAATATCGCTCATAACTGAATAATTAGAAAGAGAATTATATTGAAGGCTACATTTTAGTGTAGAAGAGCAGTATACTGATAATAATCATAATAAACAATCATCTGAATTGATAACAACCAGTGGTGTCCGTCAAGGATGTCCATTTTCCCCATTCCTGTTTAACTTCATCATAGATATATGCTAATGGAAGTATCCTTAACTGAACTTAACGACATTTGGAATCGACTTGTTACCAGGGAATAGTCTTATGGACTAAGAATACGCAGACGACATAGTCCTGTTAGGGGAGGATGCTGACAAAATACAGCAGAGTCTTCTGAACACCTTGAGCAGCAATCTTCGTATGTTTGGCATGCGATTCGCCCCTGTAAAATGAAAGATGCTGCTACAGGACTGACTGGACTACGTCAACTCCTAGCTTAGTAGTGATAGGGAGTGAAGTGATAGAACATGTTGACCACTTCACCTATTTGGGAAGTTGTATCAGCACCAACGGATTGATTGGCGACAAAATCTCAGCACGGATCCAAAAAGCTCGAGCTGCTTTCGCTAACTTACATCATCTCTGGCGTAGGCGTTAGGTGGCATAATAAGGTAAGTAATGTTAAAGGTTAGGCGTAGAGTGTTGGGCAAAGAGGGAAAATCAATCCACGAGGCTATAAAGTTACACAGATTGAGATGGCTAGGTCACGTGCTGCGCATGCCTAACCATCGCCTCCCCCTCCCGACGGGCATTACTAGCTGATATAGGTGCAGGTTGGAAAAGAGTAAGTGGTGTCATGCCAAACAAAAACATGGCCTCATCAATCCATGAAATCCTTGACAGTTAAACTGAGTCAGGTAGGGAGATGCAGACTTCCGGGTTGGGGCCCGTCCTCGGGACTCTAAGAATCAATGGCTGGAGACAGACAATAGGCGACATGGCTCAAAATCGTTGTCAATGGCTTACGCAGATGTATTCAGTCTCTTGTGTAATCTTTCATATTCCTTTCTACCATTACTCATTCTGTTTCACTCTTATACTTGTCAAAACTCTATTGATTCTCTTCACTCATTTTCTTGTCTACCTTTGTGTGCTCTTTGGAACGCGGCAACTCGAACTGCTGCACTTCGGTGCCAAGTTCTATGTTGAATCCAGCGAGCCAGCCAGACAATAAACAAAGCCACTAGCAAATTCATGTAAAAACTGATCCATATGGAAAAAAATAAGAATTACACTCACCAATATCAGTTGTTTCACAATCGGCGAATGGACGAGTTAACTGCATTAAGTGTTCCTAAATGTGAAGAAATCATTAAGGAAGTTATATATAATATGGTCTTGTGTTGAATACTAAATCTTCTGTTAATAATGACAATAATAACAATATTAGTAGTCATAGTAGTAGTAGTAGTGTAACAACAGAAGACAAGGGCCACGCAAGAGGAGTGGTTTTGAAGACGCAGCGTAATTTGACAGCAGGGAATGCTCTTTTTGCTGCATTTCTAAGGCGCTGTGTTCGTATCTCACTGGTATTGTCTACTAGGAACTGCATCTGTAAGAACAAGGCCTTTTTTGGAACTGTTGGTAACTTGGGCTGCTTTGGTTTTAGATTCATATTCTTATCAATAAACTTTTCAGGATAACCATTTTCACTTAGCAACTGTTTGTTATTATTATTATTATTATTATTATTATTATTATTGACTACCAATTTAAAATATTCTATGTATATAAACATGCATATATTTATAATTGCACGGATGTGCACCGATTCCAGTTGCCATACTCTCTCCATCTACTGCACAAAGCAAGAGAAGAGAGTGAAGACAGATTCAAAACAGAGAGAGATAATAAATAGAAGTGTGAGTGGTGCAAAATGAATGTTAGTTTTATTGGATACGATAAATCACCATAAAGAGTGAATGCATCTGAGCCAGCACCAGCTGGCCGCCGAGAACGGTGACTTTGAGCCATGTCACCGATTGTCTGCAGCCTTCATTCGTTTCGCCATCATGAGAACTGCAACCAGGAAGTATATACCTCCCTACATGGCTTAAACTAAATGTTGTGGATTTCACTGACTAATAAAGCCATATTTTTTCATGTGACCACCACCACCACTAGATGTTTTCCATCCTCATTCATCCTGTATCAGTGGCTAACACCGCTCGTCGTCTAGGAAGAAGGTGGCAAGGCATGGATGCGCTACACATGTCCTCACCATCCATCTCAATCGGTGTAACTGCTTCACAACCACCTCGTCAATAGATTGATTTCCCCTCCTCCTCCTTACCCCTTACCTAGCACTCGACCGACTGATGCCTCACCTCAATATTGCTCACCTTGTTACATCTAGCACCTGACATGGGAGATAAAACGCAGACGCCTACGATCAAAGACAACTAGGTAACCTTTTCATGTCTTGCACTTTCAATGGCTATGTCCCACTGCCGGTCAGCCAGCCATAAAAGGAGGACAGAGCGGACTACTGAGTAGTACACACGCCCTTTGGCCGAAAGCCAGCCGGATACCACGTCTGTTAGGCCAGAGGTGGCGTAAGTTGGCGTATGTCAAACGAGCCGTTGGAAATACTTAAAATTAAGACCAATACTTGATATGCAAAACTCGTCCTACCATGTTCTAGCTAGATGGTTAGTAAATATTCTCAAACCATTACATAAGAAGATAGTGAAATATAGCGTCAAAGATGTATTTGAATTCGTAGACAAAATAAAAGATATTAATATCAAGGGTAAAACCATGATATCTCTGGGCATAACATCTTTATTCACAAATGTACCTCTAATAAAAACATTTAATTATATATGTGAACAAGTGGACAAGCAGTCGATAAACATTGGAATCCATATTGAAATCCTAAAAGAATTGATATTAAGATGTACCATGAATGTAAACTTCAAATTTGACGGCACGCTTTACAGGCAAGTGGACGGGATGGCAATGGGGACCCCATTGGGTCCCATTCTAGGTGATTTCTTTCTAAGTAAGCTAGAAAATGGACCTCTGAACAACCTTATCAGTAAGCTCTCATTTTATTGCCGATATATGGATGATACCTTCATTCTTTGTGATAATGGTTCCGATAGGAGTACAATAATTACTGAATTCAATAAAGTTCATTCGGCTATGAAATTCACATGCGAAGAGGAATCCCAAAATAGAATTGCCTTTGTGGATACCCGTCCTCCTTACAAGAAAACCAGATGGTAGCATAAAAAGAAATTTACATAGAAAAAGCACTTGGAAGGGACAATATACACACTTTCACAGCTTCATTCCCATCAATTACAAAAGGAATTTAGTGAAGACCCTTAACCACAGAGTTAGAGCTATATGCTCAGAAGAAGTAATTAAAGACGAATTAAGCATTGTATATGATACTTTAATCGAAAATGGTTATCCTGACAAATTTATCAAGAAACATATGACAAAGAAAGCTGAAAAGGACTACCCACTATCTGTAAACAAGAAGTCACTTTATATACGACTGCAATTCATGGGCGATATACCAAGTGAGTTAATTACGAAGAAATTAAGAAAATCAGTTCAAAGGACTTTTAATGCTGGCGACGAACTACACGTATTATTCTCTACATGACCGATGGTGATTCCTCGACTGAAAGATGAAGTACCTAGACTAGCTGGCCACTTCAAATTGTATTTATCAATTCAACTGCGCTTGTGGAACGAGTTATGTTGGCCGTTGCTGTAGGAACTTGATTTTTCGTGCTCACTCGAGAACATATCCCACTATGGCTAAGTAAAGGTGTAGTTAAAACTATTAACAGCTCGATATTAGACCATCTGGTGCAAACCGGTCACAAAGCCAGCGTAGAAGAATTCTTCTATATAATATACTGGGTGCCTAACAAACTACCAAAATCATCGAAGCACCGCATGCTATTGCAATTCGCCTCAAACAACCAGTGCTCAGTGTGCAAAAGAAGCAACTCCAGCTAGCCCCTACTACTGCCTTGGCCCTCAGTAGAGACTATAAACTCATGAATTTGTACCATTACCTTTCCTAAATCTTCTGACATTCAGTTTATTTGATGTTGATGCTGTTCAGCTGTAATTTATCAATATTATTGATCCGATGTCATTTAAACATTAATGTCGTTCATAAGACTAATTCATTCATTCATTCATTATAATGTATATATAATTGTAGAACCTGATGATGAATTTATCGAAAGAGTACTCTTTATTCCATGTCAATTCTTTTGAAAATTATCTTTTCTTATGTGCAAGCCTTAATGCTAAAATGTGAGAAAATATCTTAATCAGGATCGCCACGATGCATGTCTAAATTATCCTACCACATAATTGAAATACTGACGGTGAATAAGTAGCAGAGTTTGTAACAAGACAGCTCTAAGTAACATTTTTCAGCATAAATCTCTTTAGCTGAACTCAATTAGTCGGTTAACTGGATTAGAGTACCTCAAGTGTTTGGTTTCAAGTTTACTGATGCATGCTACATAGGGAGCTGGAATTCTATAAAGACTGACTCAATGGGAGTATTTAGAAGTGACAAAAAGTACGGAATATTGAATAGAACAATGGGATGGATACAAATATAACGACCATTTTTTTAGAAAAAAGGATGATAGCTATCAACTTTCTAGCTTTTGTAACTTGTGTGACCGATTATTACTTTGATGCAGCTGTTGCGAATTTTTTTTTGGTTATAGCTTGGTTCCACACCGTATTTGTTGTGTACTGCTCAACAGTCCGCTCCGTCCTCCTTTATGGCTGGCTGTGAGACCTGACCATTGAGAGCGGAAGACATGAAAAGATTATCTGTCTTCGATCATAGGTGTCTGCGTTCTATCTCCCGCGTGAAGTGGTATAATAAGGTGAGCAATATTGAGGTTAGGCATCAGTCGAGTGCTAGGTAAGGCGGGGAAATCGATAGACGAGACTGTGAAATTACATCGACTGAGATGGTTAGGACATGTGTTACGTGTGCATGCCTAGTCATCGCCTTCCTCGACAATGGGCAATGTTAGCTGATATAGGATGAGTTAGGCTGGAAGAGAGCTAGCGGCGGTCAAACGAAAACATGGCTTCACCAGTCAATGAAATCTACAACAGTTATTCTAAGCCACGTAGGAAGGTGTAGACTGACTTCCTGACTGGTTGGGGTCCTCGGGACGCTAAAAACCAATGAGGGCTGGAAACAATTGGTGATATGACTTGCTCAAAATCGTTATCAATGCCTGGCGCAGATGCATCCACTCCTTGTGACTGATGATTTCCAATTAAACTGTTTTGTTCTTCGTTATTACTATTCCTTTGTCTCACACCTCTGTTTACTGTCTCTATTATGCATTTCTTCTACTTTCTTCTGTTGCTTTGTGTGCTACATGGAGTGTGGCGACTTGAACTGCCGCACATATGTGCAAAGTTCTATGTCGAAAACCAACCGACCGACCGTTGCGAATTTTAAATTTAAACAATAAATAAAAGAAAGTGCAAAACACAAAAAAACATAAGTTACCAAAGGCTAGAAAGTAGTTCCTGTTACGTGAACAACTAATCAGTACGGCTCCCTCTTCACCGACATTTTCAAATATTATTGTTATTCCCTTGGTTTCCTAGTGGAACATAAGGCTTCAACAACACAACTCCACTTTGTTATATTTTCTGCTGTCCGCTTCAGGTGGGTCCACGACTGCCCATAATCTCTTATCTCCTCCTCCAACTCACACACGATCTCCTCGGTGTCACAATAGCACCGACCACCCACTCGTCGCTTTCCATTTACCTTCCATTCGATGGGCTCCTCAAGGTACGCCTAATCAATCCACCTACGTATTTGTTGAACAGTCGGCTCTTAGTTGGTCTGTTCATCGCTAGAGTTTCTTCTTGCTAATTCTTCCTGTCCAGCGGCTGGCCGTTCGACCTTGAGTGTGGAGCCAGTCAGCCAGCGAAGGCGTCAGCTGCTGATAACAGCCTTTAACTTGTTGGAAATCCATCTCGCGATGCACGTGTAGTGCAAGTATAGAAGCACTAATTGACTGACTTCATTAAATTTGTGTTAAAAATCCGAACCTTGTTCTTTATGCTCAGTTACTGCAGAAGATTTCCAAACTGGTTTTAGATTGATGAAGGCACGTCTTGCCTTTCCGATTCTGGCTGGCTGGTTTTGACATCTTCATCTGTTCCGACTACCTGTGGTTGTAACCGTGCTTCCTAGATAAGTGAAGGAAGTAACCTCTGTCAAATTTCTCTATCGCGTTGATGGTGATTGGTGCTAGTTGTTGTTGTTGCTGCTGTTGGTGGTAGTTGATCATCTTCAGCAGTCCGCTCCGTCCTCCTTTATGCCTGGCTGTGAGACCTGGCCATTGAGAGCAGAAGACATGAAAAGGCTGATTAGCTGTCTTCGATCATAGGTGCCTACGTTCTCTCTCCCGTGTGAAGTGGTATAATAGGGTGAGCAGTATTGAGGTTAGGCGTCACGTGCTAGGTATGGAGGGAAAATCAATAAACGAGGCTGTGAAGTTACATCGACTAAGATGGTAAGACATATGTTACGCATACCTGGGCATCGCCTTCCTCGACAACGGGCGGGGCAATGTTAGCTGACATAGGAGTGATCAAGTTGGGAAAGAGTTAGTTAGTGGTGGTGGTGGTCAAACCAAAACATGGCATCAGTCAATGAAATCCACAACAGCTAGTTTAAGCCAGCCAGTTAGCCAGTCACGTAGGGGGTCATCGGGACGGTGAACAACACAATCGACGATATGGCTCAAAATCGTTCTCAATGGCGCAGATGCATTCACTCCTTGTGACTTATAATATCCAATAGAACTATATGGTTCTTCGATATTACTATTCTCTTTGCTTCATATCTCTGTTCAGTGTCTCTATTTTGCATTTCATTTTACTTTCTTCGCTTGCTTTGTTTGCTACACGGATTGTGGCGACTCGAACTGCTGCACATCAATGCAAAGTTCTATGTTGAAACCAGTCAGTCAGTCATCTTCATCACCTCTGTCTCCACCTTCTCTATGTTCACCTGGATGGAACCCTGTCTTCGCTGCCAGTCATCCAACAGCCTCTTCAGATAGTTTGTTGGTTTTCGCGAGTTTTTGTAGAACATTAAACATAAATCACCAGCGAAACCCAAACCTTCTAGAGTCTTCTTATCGGTCAGTGCAGCGTATTACTGTCTTTTCACACCCTACAGTCTGGCACATTATCAAGTCCACCACATTTAAGAATATCATCGTTGGTGATAACAAGCAGCCAGCTTGTCTTCCTGCTGTATTCACTACTTCACAGGCTTCGCTGAGTTCTCCGTTGTGGATGATCTGACACGTGTCACTGTCATATAGCTGTTGAATGAAGTTGATAAAGACTTGAGCACTGCTCAACGTAGTGCTGAAGCAGTTACCAAATTACTTCTCAGTCAACGCTGTCGAAAGCCTTTTCAATATTCAAATCCAATATTATACAACCGTACTTCACTAACTCCATTATGGATAAGATTTTATTTTGATAAATCACACAGTGTTGTACAGTAATATTTACTGATGACGTTTTGAGCACAAACTATTGCTCATAATCATATCAAGTACTTCACTAACTTCAGTGCTAATTTGTCCTACTCCTTTCCAGCCGTATACCAGGATAAAAAGTGCTACGTCTCCAGGTTTAAATCTTGTGTCGAATTGTGAATCACAGGTCTCTTAGAGAGTAACGTGTGTCTCTCTCGATGAAATAATTAACACCAGATCTCTGAAATAATGCATATCAGTAGATCACTCGCTAAAGATTTATTTAATCAAGGAAGTAATACATAGACATACAGCAGTTTACCTTAGAGTAAGAGTATGCACCAAGTTAGTGATGGTCAAACCAATACCTGGCTTCATCATCAGTCAATGAAACCCAAAACAGTTAGTTCAAGCCAGCCAGCCAGCCAGTCAAGCAGGGAGGTGTAGGCTGGTTGAGGTCCTGGGGATGGTGGAAACCAGTGGCTTGAGATAATCGGCGATATGTCTCAAAGTCATCTTTCTCGGTGATGCCTAGGGCTGGCGAAGATGCTTTCATTCTTTGTGATTTATCATATCCAATAAAACTCTGTTGTTCTTCCGTATTACCATTCTCTTTGCCTAACTCACACTTCTCTCTATTATCTCTCTCTGTGTCTGCTTTGAATCTCTCTTTACCCTCTTCTGTTGTTTTGTGTGGTACATGGAGGGAGTGGGGCAATTGGAACTAATGAACAACTGTGCACAGTTCTACGCTGAAACTAGTCAGTCAGTTCACTCGCTGAAGGTTTACTTAGCCAAGGAATTAATACACATGTATGTATAGCAGTTTACCTTGGATAAGGAGTTTATACATTGAGTCTAGCATTCAATATACACAATGTATAAAAGTACTCTGTTATAAACTTAAATCAAGCACAAAGGAAGCTTATTGAAAAAAACCTTGAGTTCGTTGTAAATAACTAACTAAACACAGAACATAACTGCATTAGAAAAAGAATGATCAGAATTTATCTTTTTAAGCAGGATGCGACAGCATACCAATTGCAACTGTTTCAACTTACTATTTCCGGTGGACCGTGAATAGTCAGCTTCTTGACTCCTGCAGCCTTAGCAGTTAATGCAACACCTGAACAAAAAGTGCACATAATACAAAAAACATACACATACCTAGTAAGCCAGCAGCATGATCCCACGACATACGCGTAAGGTAAACGTGTTGTATACGGGAAGCTTTCGATCTAATAGTAATAAAGTATTTTTTTTCTTAAATAAATACCTAGATTCTGTTAAAATTCTTTGTGTGCATTCGCCACAATTAACCAGGTAGCGACATATACCCGTATCAATGAGCACAGATTTAGGGGAACCCAATCGTCCATTACCCACAACAGTTAACGATATAGAGTGTGGCGGCACCATTACTTTCGAAATGCTGTAATGTTTGAACAAGCGTACTGTGCTGATTATTCGTACAAAAGAGAATAGGTGTAGCATCAGACGTATCAGAAACTCGTATATGCCTATATGAAAATTAAGCCAAAAAAAAAATGAAATATGCATCGGCTAAAAAAAGAATTCATAGGAAAACCCCTTATATCATCTAGTAGGACTAGAAATCAGTGTAAAAGACTATATGCTCACACAATCAAATATAAAAACTCATCGATACCCTATTGATATAAGTATAAAACTTCGGCACTGTGGTAGAGCATAACTCCATTATGATTATGAGCAATAGTTTATGCTCGAAACGTCATCGATGACCTATTTGGCGCCACCGCATTCGATGAGATAAAGGTAGTGTTAAACGTGGAACTTCGGTCGGTTTTCGACATAGAACTTTGCACATATGTGCAGCAGTTCAAGTCGCCACACAAACGTGGAACTTACTACTTACTGAGCCATAAGCACTTAACAGAAATGGCTGTTATTCTTCCATATTTTTAATTTTACGATGGCACTATCCTTACTATCTTATACTGATATTATAATTCTCATCAGTTTACATTAGTACATTTTGCCCCTAACACTTCTACTAATGCCAAAAGTTGCTGCTATTAAATTTGGTTGTGTGCGCCTATCAGTATGTCTTTTCTGTTTTTCAGTAAGTTAAATGCGATATTGTATAAAATGCTGAAAATTCCACACAATCATAAGCACTTAATGTCAGTAGAAAGTTTGGGCACTGTGGAGTAGATCTAATGAATTGTAATTATAATCTAGAAGTTAATGTGGTCATGGACAGTAATTTCGCTCGAAATATTAACAAAACAGAAAACCAACCAGTGTCTGTAAACTATTGAAATATGATTATAATTTATTTGATCATTAGAACTGCTATTGAAATAAGCACATCATTGTTATTATAAACCGATATATTGAGAGGACTTCAGAACTCACACAAAAGGCGCAGCTAAGTCAATTTTATTCGACTGCGTGCAACATTAAAGAACGGGGTGAGAAAGGAAAAGCAAATGTCCTATAGTTTTCTAAATGTAGCCTTAGTGTAGCGGCGTATTTACAAATTCGCGCTGACGTCCAATTTCAATGTGTAAACCGACTGATTTCGTAATTCTTCCTTCCCAACCATTTAGAACGATTCTGGATCTTAAGCTCATTCTAGGATATTTTTCCCTCTAGTGCTGTAAGTGCGCGAAATGCAGTAGTGGTAGTGGTGTTATTTTTTCTTCGTTAAACCTTGTCGTCAAGGGATTTTAGGCGGTGAAAGTGTGAGGTTTGATGATTCCCAAAGCACTGTTTGTGGGAAGAGGAAGAAATGGATTGAATTACGAGTGTACTGCATTATTATCTGCAGCCTGTCATGCGGAAGGATTGAGTGGACAAATGTGTTTTACCCACCTGGGAAAGCGACATTGAAGTTAACCTTCAAGCTTCACAGTGCATGAGGCAGAGGGATTAAACAGCAGATGCAGTGTGTTCAGCACCAACCTCAAGGACAGTCTAACCATGTTAAGCACAGAATCCCTCACGCAAAACGTGGATCACCCAAAATTCTACGCTGATGACTCATATACAATGGGCGTCTATTTTATAGCCACTTATAACCGTCCCTTAATAAGACACAGGGAAGTCAATGGAACACAGTGATCCGCACCAATGGCTCCTCAAACAGCCAGACCACTGATCATCATCTTCAGGTTATCGTGATGTGAACTGATACCGCGTGGACTGATGTTTGCAGTAGTAACCCCTGCACTGCGTTTAGGACTCTCGCCAACCATGCACATGGTCCGGGGTTCGATCCACTGCCAACGCACATATGATATCAATGGCTGGCCTGCGATGTTTGGACTAACAATATCAAATGCTGAAAATTGCGTACTTGTACCAAAAATACGGTGTGGAATCAAGCTATAATCAAAAATGTAGAAAGTAGTTGTCTGAGTTTATTGTAGAGAGGTCAAGTCTTTTCATAGAAATTTCATCTGCATAATGTTTGAAGAAGTGTGGTATAACATGTTATATATTGCCGGAATCTGCGAATTACTTAGATGGTATGTTGGTCTGGTGTGACTGTTTTACTATGTGTATGTTAGATATAGTTACTTATGTTTCAGCTGAACTGCTTTGGAATGTTGCCCTTTTAAGAGGAAATATACTAGGACGGCGGCATTTCTTACGGTAGCTGCTTATTCTTCCGTGAAAGTTGCTTATCTTTGTAATCTCGGTTTCACATGCGCATGCAAACCACTACATAAGTATGCCCTTGAAATGCTAACAGAACCTTCATAAACATCTAAGTAGTTTTTCACTAGAAACATTGTGTCCATTTGGACAGATAATATCGGTATGTGAGAGGTTATTGGTAGACAGACTTAGTGTGTAAATGCATCAAGTGAATTAAAGTGATGTGAACCGGGCGCGCTTGACGTCTACACTGTCCTCTCAAGTTTTCCTGTTTTGTACCGATTTCTTATTTGACTGCTAGACCAACATATTTGTGATGGCCGCGACTGCTTCAGTGGCATATATGTTGCAGCTGTGGTGAAGTATAACAGGTAATTCTCAGCCTATCAGCTCGCTGTACTATATTGGTATACACATGGTTGTTGTCTAATCTGAAATACAATCAGGAAACTTCCATTAAGCAAATTTTGATGCGTCTGCCAAAGAGAACAAGTCACTTTATTTCATATCATTTTCACTGACATCACTGGTGAATAACGTAGGTTAGTATTTTGGGCAGCTACTCAGAACTACAGTAACTTTTACATCCTACTGATATTTCTAATTATGCCTGTCACATTAGATTTACGTACAACTAATCGAACGTACTATTGCATTTAGTGAACCCCATTTACTCCAATATCCAATATAGTTTCTTTACGAGCTAGTATACGCCTATTTGAACTCTTTGTGCTCGCCTCTTAGTTATGAGGTAAAGGATCCTGGTCTTCAGTAGAGTTCTGCGTAGTTAGTCCCGCTACTGGACTATAGTAGCTGTGTCTAATTCCTTCTCAAAGTCTAGGGAGATCACATTAACTGGAATATTCATGTCCCGGAATCATGTCCAATCGTTCCAAGCTGTTAGTGGGTTTGTTATGCAGGATCTACCTTTCCTGGAACTATGCTTTGCTTCATGGAGTCTTTTGGTCCTGTCAAAGTGTTCTCTGGTGCGATCAGCAATTATACTTTCCAGCAATTTTGATACAAATGGGAGTAGCGCCACTGGTTTATAACTGGTGGCATTTCACCTATTCCCACTCTTGAAAATCAGAGAAAGAAAGGCTCTTTTCTGCTCCCTTGGTAATTTCCCTGAATCCACCGAGTGTTGGGACAGGTCGTATAAGGGCCTACAGAGTGCTTCAGTGCACTGTTTCAGAACAGATGCCCTGAAACCGTCACAACGACGGGCTTCCCATACATGAGTCTCCGTAACTTCCCTAGTACCACTGCCGGCTTTATTTGGAGCGTAGCCACCATATTTTCTTCGGTTAAACAGTAGTACTACCCTTTTGGCCCATACCGGCGATACCCACATTGCTGTCTAACTGTTCGGCGAAGGCAAAACTTAATGTTTCAGCCATTTTCGAGCCGGTGAGATATTGGCCGTTTGGACCTACTAAGGCGTATATCCCCAGTTGGTAGGCTTTCTCGTGGACACGAATCTTCACAGGCTTTTGGGTTTCGCCAATAGTTTTTCGGCAAGATTATCATGAATGAACCTCCTGTCACTCCTGACTCTTGTATTGCATTGGTTGCTGAGTTCCAGGTACACATAGTGGTCGGCCTGACTCTTCGCTATTCACCACGTAGGCCAAGCCTTCCGCTTTGCTTGCAGAATACGTTGCGTACCTCTCTTCAGCCATGAGGACCTTTTCTCCCGCTGTGTTGTGACTAAAGGAACGGTATCTGAGACCACTGTGTCCATCCAAAGATAACTCAGCCCAAGCTAAGCACAATTCTGTGTCAGACAAAAGCCTCCGCATTTGAGCATAGTTTTCCTTATTACACCACAGACATGGTCGCGTAGCGTCCCACTGGAAATGCTCATGGAGAACAAGATTGAATGCTATGACTGCATGGTCACTACTTCTCAGAAAAGTCATGATCTGAACCTTTTCGACGAGTAGTCACCAATTAGAACATAATCTAGTTTCGAAGACTTTCCACTGGGCCCCATCTAGTGTCATCTTCAACATTCTCAGTCAGTTGTGTATTTCTAATGGTTTGCAGCAGATTTCGACCGAATTTTCCCTGAGCCAAGGTTCAGGAGTGGGGCATTGAAATCTGTAGCTATGGTAATTTGGTCATAGCCCAAGCCCCGTATCCCTTTGATGGTGCTGAGCAATAGCTGGTTGTGCTCAGCCTCACAGGTGGGTGATCGGTAGATGTCGCTCAATAAGTGCTTGTTGTCGCTTACGGTGAAATGACACCATATGGAGTCTGGGATTTCAGTATGTGCTGGGTCCGCTGCATATACGCATTTAAGTTGTTTGTCAAAGTATGTGTCTGCCGACTAGAACCATATCACTTATACTGATTTCTTTGTCAGAGACAATGGGGGCTAGTCAGGTTTCAGTCAAGATTATTATTTTGAGGTTCAGGTGTGACCGGAGGTTTCTGAGTCCGACTACTTTTCCTTTCAGCCCTCTCCAACTGCTATGCATGTAGCTAACAGTTTCACCCAGTCTGCATGCTGTAGGATGGTTAACACTACGTTGTCTGCTGGTAGATAACTTACTATTGGATTTATTTGTCGATCCCAACGTAACCTGCCTGTTGTCGTTTTCTCTTTCGAATAGATTTGAAAACTTGGGTGATACTGACTATGATTCTCACTGCCGCACTGCTGTAGTGTCACTGAGGTATGAGGACGTATTATGAGTTTCATTATGGTTCGAGGTCTTCTTTCGCAGGATCGGACATGTTCTTCCATTCTACCTTTGGTCCCGTACCACCGCTGAAGTACTGGGGTCAACTGCTCTTGGGAGATGAGTCTGATAGCCAATAGCCTTGATGAGCCGATCAATGTGAGATGAGCCGAATGAGGTAACCAAAAACCAAGATTGCCCCAGATGTTCCGATAGCCATCCGAGGTGACAGCCATCTCCATTGCTGTACGTCATGCATGTGTTTTTCCCAAGCAGTGTTAGTTTCCAGTTCCGGAACACAGTGAATGATCATGGAAGTAGAGGGTATCAGTTCCGGTGACTCCCTCGCTATCTGCTTGTTAGCTCATGGCCTATCATTTCTTATTCCTATGTTGGAACCACTGCCAATAGCTAATATTTATGCCAATAACAATATTCTTTCGGCCTGTTCGGCAGAGCCTATGATCACCCTTAGTGGAGGTGGCCTGCCTTGCGATGCCTGAACACCCCTGTACAGTCTGCACAATTTTGCTGAATTGATGTCTAGCCCTAGTTTATTTCACAGATTACACCACTTTTCCTGATCAGACATAGCTCTATGTTTAAGCAGGCTACTGTAGCACACTGGTACACTAAACAGGACAAAAGAGTTAAAGCGACTGACCTCAAACTTAGGTTTGATTTTGGGCTGCTTGTCCTCGTTTGTGGGATCGGTTCACATAGACTCAATCAGGTTCTGACTAGTCCTTGTCGTGTTGCCATGCTTACTAGCAGATGCAAGTGGTCCTCGGACGATTCAGGCTTCACTGCTGTTTCGAGTGTAGCCTTGGGAGTCTTCAATTTATGAAGATTGATATTTCTAGTTGATTGGGCTGGAGTACCCTGTTTGCGGTTTTTACTAAGTTCTGGTGGTGTGCTGTCAGGCGGAACGCTGCATGAGACTGTGTCCAGAAGGAAAAGTGGCATGCTGTTTCTGTCATCTATGTGGGACCGTGCCAGGGCCAAAAAGTATTCAAATGTAGCAGAACCACGGGCACGGGTTATTTCGCATCTATTCACAGTATGTTTTTGGCACTCCTTTTTCACAACAATAGTGCACCCACAGTTTCCAAAAATTGCACTCTAATGCTGAGTCACTTCCGCAAACAAAAACACTACAGGCCTGGCAGTCGTCTGTTTTTCTGGAAG